CAACCTGACCATTACATTGTGGATTATATGCAGCGGTGTGACTACTGGCAACGCCTTTATCGAACAAAAATTGTTTGAGTTCAGTTGATATGAATGCAGAACCGCGATCTGAGTGAATATAAGCAGGCATACCAAACAGTGAAAACAGTTGACTCAAACAACGAATTACAGTGGAAGAGGACGTATCGGCGCAGGGATAAGCAAAAGGGAATCGAGAATACTCGTCAACGATTGTTAAGAGGTACTTATTACGAGTGTTTGAGGGAAGTGGGCCTTTAAAGTCGATACTAAGGCGTTCGAACGGTTGTGTGGCTTTGATAAGCTGGCCACGAAAGGTGTCACAAAATTTTGGTTTGAGCTCGGAGCAAGTGGAACAGTTGGACACCACACGTCGGATATCGCTGACTGAAAAAGGAAGATTCTTAGAACGAACAAAATGTGCAAATCTCGTGACCCCGGGATGGCATAATATGTTGTGAAGCTCTTCAAGTTTTTCCGTCCCAGTAATGTTGGCACAAAGGTTACGAGATAGGGTATCAGCAACGCGGTTATCTGTTCCAGGTCTATAGACGACGTCGTAGTTGTACCCTGCCAACTCGATTTTCCACCGTTCAATCTTGTCGTTCTTTATTTTACTTTTCTGTTGGTTCCCATACATAAAGGCTACCGAACGTTGATCCGTAATCAATTTAAAATGTCTCCCGAGGAGATAGTGGCGCCATTTGCGGATCGCTTCAACTATAGCATATGCTTCTTTTTCAACAGCAGAATGATTTTTCTCGCTTGCAGTCAAGGTTCTGGAGAAAAAGGCGACCGGCCGGCTACCCTGGCTCAGGGATGCACCAATAGCGATGTCGGACGCATCAGTTTCAACAACGAGAGGAATATTGTAGTCGACAGTAACTACCATCGCATTTTCTAGTTCGTGTTTAAGGTTCTCAAATGCTGTTCGGGCATTCTCCGGGAGCGGAAATATTTTGTTTTTAACCAATGGATGAATTTTGTCAGAGAACGCCGGTATCCACTGTGAATAGTAGGCAAACAAACCAACGGCTCTTTGCTGCGATTTCCCGTTCTCTGGAAGTGGGAGTTCTCTTATGGGGCGCATGCGTTCTGGGTCAGGTCTTATAATACCTTTGGAGACCTTGTAACCTAAGAGAGTAATCTCTTCAGTTGCGAAGCTGCTTTTCGTATCGTTCAAAGTAATATTGTATGTTTTTGCGACATCGAGAAAATGCCTAAGATTACGGTCATGTTCATCTCTCGTTTTGCCGCATATAGTGACGTTATCGATATAAGCGAATGTGTCTTTTACCTGTTCGGCTTTGATTATATTGTTCAGCGTTCGCTGAAAACACGCGACCCCGTTTGTCACTCCAAAAGGAATGCGCCGAAACTGGTATAGGTTCCCCCCAGCTTCGAACGCTGTGAATGGCTTGTCTGACTCGATTATTGGAACCTGATGATATGCACTCTGGAGATCCAGTGTGCTGTAGACGGTGTAGCGTGCGATGGTTTCAATCATTTGGTCGAGCCTTGGTAAAGGATAAGCGTCAAGGTAGGTGAAGCGATTGATTGTCTGGCTGTAGTCTATCACCATGCGTCTCTTGTGATTTGCATTGCGGGTAACGAGCACTTGTGCTCTCCACGGAGAATTTGATGGTTCGATTATGCCATCGGTAAGCATTTGGTCTACTTCCGTTTGTATGAATTGTTCATCTTCCGGTGTATGACGACGAGATTTTGTGGCGATCGGTTTGTAATTTGGAGCAAGATTGGTGAATAAGGATGGAGATTCCAGTTTTGCGGATGTTACGCCACATACAGTTAGGGTACCCCGTTGACCACCGAATGGAATTTCGACTTTATCATGTAACCCCAGAAAGTCATGTCCGAGAAGGACGTCTGCACAAAGGTTCGGTAATACACAAAGTCTGAAACGTTCGTATATAGCATCCTTGTACTGAATGGACACAAGGCAATAACCTTTGGTGGAACATGAATGTATCGTCGACGCCATTGTTATCACAGAGTCGTACGGAAATAGCTCCCAGTTATGAGTTTGCAGGATTGATGAAGAAACGAAACTTCTGGAGCTGCCGGTATCAATGAGAGCTCGGACAACAACGCCGTTGACCAAAATATCTGTTGTAGTTTTGGATAGGCAATTGGGAGCAGCAGCACAAAATAGCGAGGAGATTGAGGAGTCTTGAGCTGAACCCGCGTGATATTTCGAGGCTTTGGACCTACAGACACGTTGAAAATGTCCAATTTTTCCACAACTCTTGCACACTGATTCTTTAGCGGGACACTTATAACGAGGGTGCTTGGGGTTGCCACAAAAGTAACATGTTTGTTGTGTAGCGGCCGAAACTGTTGTTTCGGAATTAACAATGGGTAAAGGAGTAGATACCGAACAAGTAACGGGTTGTCTGTATACGTATGATTGTGACTGTTTTTGTGCAAGTTCGAGAGCTCGCGCGGCTTCATGGGCTTTGTCAAGGTCCAATTCATGCCACGTTAGCAGTTTCTCCCGAATGGTATTCGACTGCAATCCGGTTATCAGAGCATCCCGAACTGCTTCGTTTGTATGTTCCACAGCAGATACTGCTTTGAATTCACAGTCTTTAGCAAGCGATTTCAGTTTTTGAACGAATTGGTCGACATCCTGACCAGGTTCTTGTTTGTATGTGGCTAAAAGATGGCGTGCATACACGATATTTTTCGGGCGGATGTAAAGTTTTTCCAGCAAGGTTATCGCAGAATCGTAGTCGCTGCATTCTGCGATGAAGTCATACACTGTATGGTCGATGTGACGAATGAGAGTTTCCAATTTATTTAGACCTTCGGGTTTGATTGAGTTAATGTAAGCTTTGAAAGTACGGAACCAATGAGTCCATCGTTTCATGCCATCTGATGAGTGAGGATCGGCATCAAAAACCGTAGGTCGGAGAATATGATCCATTTCGTTTTTATTGGACGATTAAATTGTTGCACGAGTCGAGTAGTTCCAGGACGGGATTAGAAAGGAGACAATAGGAAGACGTAATGTACGCTTTAATCGTCTAATAACTGTAGTACATGAGCTGAAAATACAGTGAGAATCACGAGTTAATGGGTTATGCAAAGGTATGGGTTATATAGTCATGACACCTAGACAGGGAAAGTCGAGAGGCAGAAGTTGGGTCCGAATCACGGACCTTCCTGTCAGTAAATTCGCGCCCCAATCACTGAGCCATTTCTCTAACGGAAGTGTGTCAGTGCACGAATATCAGATGCCCGAATCACCCTTGCATCCTTTGTCATTTGTGGCATCAAAAAGATCGCAGGATCATAAGTGTCTCATATACCAGCCTACAGTAAGGGCCGTATTGTATGGTTATGAGATAGCCTCTGTGGAAGATGATATGGGGCGTCTTCAGGCTTTAGACCACAGGTATCCCAGAAGTGTTACTGGTATCAGATGTCATCAGCAAATTTTTTAGGAGGTGATTAGGGAACGAGTATTTGGTTATGAAGTAGGCATTTTAGTGACGGAGAAACCCCAATCAATTTCAATCCAATTTATCAGCTATAAATTTTGCACCACGGGTACATTGGTTTCAACTATTACAGTTTCGATGACCGGAAAATGGGACAACGTAGGAGGTGCAGCCAAGCCTTGAAGGTGATGGCATATTCAGTCAGTTCGGGAGTTAGGTAGTTACGCACTGTAGGCGATCGATTTGATGCACGAGCGCCACTGACTACGCGATTGGACGGTTTCTGCCTGTGTCATTAACCACTGGTGAGTTAATTCCCGGGTCCCCATCCAGGGATGCGGTAGTTGTCGGCCCGACTTGGTTTACTAACTAGTTTTCATACTCCATTACCGGGTTATACACTGTCCACTTCTCAGTCGCTTCCACTCAGTACAGGGTTGAGTGGAAAGTGCTCTGAGGGGTAGACAGTATTATGGCATGCAAAGGCATGTCCTAACCAGCGTAACCTAAGAAGCCGGAGTAAATCATCCATTGTGGGAGAGACCCTTCTTAAAACCCTATAGTGTATCTCAACATTGCTAATCCGATGTTCCCGCGAGACTGGACCAATGCTTCGAAGGCACTGATGGTCAGACACTGACATCTTTCGTATATCTTCTGCAAGTAGAGACTACGTTTCTGGGCGAGATGGCTCAGTTGTCAAAGCGCGAATTTACTGACCGGATGATCCGTGGTTTGAACCCGACCTCTGCCTCTTGACTTTCCCTGTCTAGGCTCGGGCAACCTGGCAGTATCCCAGCTCTCGTGCTTGCTGCTGGTGGTATTAGCACCTAGGCACCGAAAGGGTGATACAGCTGAGTGACTTTTATCCATAAAGCAGAATGGATCACGCTATCGCAGCGTAAACCTTGCCCTTAACAAACTAACTGTCACCACGTCGTCCCCGTAGGTGTCGGCGGTTGGCAAAATCTACCAATTCAAGAAGTGATCTCAACTTCAATCAGTCCAGTGGAACTTATGCAACTGCCCAGTTAAACAAATCTATCTGCAACCTCCATTGAATCACTTTCAAGCATGAGATTTGGATTTGATCTCACTCAGTCTTGTGGCAGCATTCGTTAGGATGTTGTAAACTACGAAGCGGAGGGTGTATGAATTGGTAGAAGGGTGTGAAAGAGATTACGAAAGTATATGGTGTAGCGATTCACCCTTCAGGATGGGATCTCCATGGCCTCCCCTCTCGCTTGGTTGGAGACACTGCATGAAATAGCAGCCAGCCGACGCCAGTGCTGTTGCCAGTTTCTTTCTTGGGGAGCCAGTCAATATGTAACCTTGTGGTGCGGTTTCCTTGATTGAAGGATGAGGTAGAGCTAACTACTTGCCACTCAGCCTGTTCTGACCAAACGTTTGGGTGCTCGACTACCGTCGGGAGGTTGTGGGTTCGAAATTCTCAGTCCAGATTGCCTGAGTGAATGTCTGGAGGTGTAGGCATCTCGGAATGATTGTGTTAAGCTAGCACTAAGTCCCTTCCCCGTCCACCTTTATCCTTTTCTTTACAATAAGGCTTTCAAATAAATCATGTTTGTACGGCAGTGAAGCATCGGTGTTGAACACTGATATCATGCTGTCGATGATGATGATAAACTCGCAGTCTACTGAGTAGCTCACTGCTGATGATCCCCAACAAGGATGAAATATCTGCACCGTGCATCTCGGCTTTTCAGCATGGATTTACTTCACCGTCAGAATGAAGTGTTTATTGAGAATCACTAAATCTCCTCACATCATTAGTCTTTGCAGATTGTCTGACTGAGGGCTTGAAGGTATATATGCCTCCAAGACAGTTAGATGAATACCTAACCTGTAGTAGGCTAGCACCAGGTGCCTTTCTCTTTCACTCTACTTTTCCATTTTAAGGCTTTAAAAATGTTCGGCTTTAGCACACCTTCGGTACCTAGCTGCCAAGCCAACGGAACGATGTACGAGGGCTTGGATACTGCGAGGTTGTCGAAACCTAGACTGGAGCAGTTAAGATGCTGAGGTTGGGTTCGAACCACGGACGGTCCGGTCCGTAAACTGGCGCCTTACTCATTAACCTATCTCGAGCCTATTTTAAGGCTTTAAACTCAAATGAAATGTGCGATTGTACGGCAGCAAAGCGGTTGTGTCAGTACTGACGTTGCAGTCTCTGGCGATGACTATGCTGAGCCTTCAGAGACATCCTGGAAGTCTCAAGCAGGACGTCATTCACAAGTTCACGGCGAATTTTCAGGGTCATCTTACACCAGTGGACTTCGGTGGAAACTCGCTACATAACTATACTTGCCCACACAGTTGGCATGCAGTGCCCTCACAGAAAATAAGGATTTTGAAGGATCGACAGGCAGCTCCATAGGTTCGAACAATCGACAGTCAGGAGAACGCTGAATGATAGTGGAGTGGTGGCGTCCGAATCCATATTGGTAATCATTTAGGAAGGCGTTGTCTTCAGGAATACGCAAGTTTTGCTAGAAAAGGATGAACTCTTGAGCGTTCCATTTAAAGAAAGAAATTTTAATTGGAGGCAATTATTCCGACGAGATGTCACAATTTTTAAGAACTGATCAAGTGTGTGAATTGTTCCAGGGCAACAAAAAATGCCTGGGTCTTTGAGAAGAGCCACCGACAACACGGGGTTCTGATGTGGGTCAGAGTAAGGTATACACTTCATTTAGTCCGACAGAAGGACACGCTGTTGCCTTTTGGTAGCTGATAAGCACGACAAACTTATTTGTTTTAACAGACCAGTAAACCCGAACCATAAAAGTTGAAAATTGGGCTTACAGGTATAAAGAATACATATCCTCGAACCAGTGATGGAGGGATATGTGTAGAAACAAATCTACCCTTAAAGTGGAAGCAGTCAAGTAGTTCGGCAACTGAATATGCGTGAGGTCACCAGACCTCAGACCATCAGACGTTGAGTTTCAACAAAAAAACAACGCGGAAAGAGTTGACGTTGCAATTTAAACTATTGAGAGGCTGGAAAGTCATGGGGGACAGCAGAGCGGAGAGTCAGTGTAACTTGTACACTATGGCTTGTTTGATGGGCGTGGGGCAGGCATCCCACTTCGGTAGCGCGAGTGGCGAACCACGCATGGCTTCTCTAAGTCGGGCGGTGGTACTTCTCCGTGTTAGTCAAACCCCTCACCATTGACCATGTGGGACAGTCATGCTCGGAGACCCTTCAGTATAGCTCCTTTGGAGGCACAAACTCTTCCCCTATGACAAGGCCCAATCACTTGTTGACTGTAAGGGATTGATTCTTACAATGTGGAAGAGCTGCAAGAAGTTTTGTGCATATGTCGTCACACATATGTGCATGATGTTGTTACGCACCGAAGCTGAAGTAATAACATGTTCGAATAACACCAGGTCTCAGAAGTTTATCATAGTGGTATCTAGACGTGATCCTAATCTACCGTTCTCGTCACCAGTCCGAGGCGCGGACTGAGCCACCGACCAGTCCAATGGTTGCCAATGGAGAAGCGCTGTACGAGCTACTGTCCTTGATCTCAACCAGATAGGCTCAGGTAGAATTCATCTCACAGTGTGTAGAATGACTCCAGTTTGCGGCGCCATTTCTCTATTAAAACTGTTTTGAACGACGGAGAAAGTGCTGTCATGGTTTCCCGTCTTTGGATGGCGGACAGACGTATCAGTTAGGTACAGACCGATCGTCCGAATAATCATCTTCCAAAGGTAGGTGGATTGATACCCCGTATGGTCAATGCATTTCTAGTAGTCTTTCACACATTGTGTCACAATAAGCAACTCCCAAAATGCATTGCACTCTTTAGGAGAAGGATATTTCAACTGACCTTAAACCTGATTCAGATACTCCATTAAGAGACGCATACTGATTCTCCGTTCAGGCTGTTGCGTCTCTTAGTTGTGCTACCCAGCACAGTCAGCATCACTTGAGTTACAACTGCCATAATATCCGTGCTATCGCTAGCGAAGTCCCGTGAAATTATTATTTCTCACTTTCTACTTTTAACTGATCTTTTATAGGGTTTTGTTTCTCCTTTCAGATCTATGCTGCAGTTCCTGTAATATTTCTAATATGGCTACTTGGGCTGAAGTTCGAGAACTCGCGGCAAAACTCAAAACAACCCAGGACAAATCAAGCGCCCTGCGTCTGTCAGAGCGTACCTGGGTAGATATAGTAAAATACCTGACCAACACAAATCGCCTTAAACTAATCTTCACAACAGATGGACGATCTTATCTGACGCGAGAAGAACTGCAGAAGGAAATCCGTGAAGAGGTTGAGGCACACAACGGTCGGGTTACTCTGATGGAACTTGCTTCAAACCTTGATGTTGATCCTTTGATTGTCGAAGCAAGACTTTCTGAGGTGATCGTTGCGGACGCACAATCCAAGTGCGCGGATCGTTTGATTAGTATTCCAGGAGAGGTCATCAGCGAGTCGTACGTCCGTCAGGTGGCACACGAAATACAAGATCGCCTGGAGGAGCGCGGGGAGGTTACCATTGGTGAACTTGCTACGGTATTCGGACTCCCTACTACCTTTCTGGTGAATATTCTTAACGAGTATCAGGGTTTACTATTTCGAGTTCAGAAGTACGGAGAGAAGTATATTACTGACACTTTTATGGCCAAAAATAGAGCCATGGTTCGCGGCTACTTCACTGCAATTATGCGTCCTGTGACGCTTTCCTCCGCGGCTTCAAAGTTGAATGTCCCTGAGAACTTACTCTCTGGGATTGTTGGAAGTTTGATTGCTAACGGACAACTGTGTGGCTGTTTGATAGCTGGACGTGGTACGTACGTTCCGACCTGTTACTCTCGTGCCGAAGACTCTTATGTGCGTGCTTTTTATTCGCAAAATGGCTACGTGGAGTGGACGTATTTGAAACGGCTGGGCGCGACCGATCCAGCTTCGTATTTGCGTTCTCTGCTACCGAACGCTGTGCATCTCTCCGGTGTTAGCATGGGTCCGATGGCCATTGACCACTTGAAAGCTGTTGTTGAGGAGGCAGCTCGTGATGCGACCTGGGCGGATTTATCTCATTGTCTTCCAGCGGGGCTCAGTGTAAAAGATCGTATAGATTTGGTTACGAAGCATATTAAAAAGCTTTCACTTCGTACTGTCGAAGATGGACTGTTTGTTGTATCAGAAGAATTCGTAAATGGATGCATGAAGCACTTTGATAAACTAATACGCGAGCGAGCAGAGTTGGCTGCACGGGAAAATCGTCAAAACCTGGCCGCGTCACACTCGCGTAACGCTGCTTCGGAACTTAATGCCGAACTATCAAAACGTTCCCACCACACGAACAAGGGCGGATTCGGCATGGGTGCACGAGAAATCAAGATGAAGAACGTTAAGAAAAAATACTTGCCATCGAAACGTCGACAAGGTGGTGGGCAGCTGGAAGCCGATGCAGATCACGATGGCTACGATGTGTGGACATCATCTACTGAATCCGTCTTTGCCAAATGGATTTCAGCAGACGAACTGAACGACGTACTGAGCAATGCGTTGTCTTCAGAATTACCTGGAGAAATAGTCTCTGGCATAGTTTCATGTTTACTACCGCAACTTGAACGTTCGTTTTCCAACATCCTGGATTCCATCTTTGTGCCGAATTCCGATACAGCTCGCAGACGAGAAACCATTGCGCAAACTCAGGAGGTCATTAACAACATGCTATTTGCAATTCAGGCAAGTCGGGGCATTTATACAGGATTACTTCCTTATTATGGCAAAGATCACATTTTATTTTGAGACGATACCTGAGTGCGTACGTCTGCGATGTTAGCTCCAGTTACGTAGCAGTTCTCTTGAGTAGCTTTCAGTGGGTATCCTCAGTCATGCCTCTTTTCCTTCAGAACCCCTTATTTTGCAGCTTGTCGTACGGGGCGAACTGACAGATGTCACTGCGTGGTAATCATACTGACCTGCAGTCACCAATTTGTTGAATGTGTTTCAGTGTTCTCGCGGGTGTCTGAGGTTATTCGAAATACTGCTGGACTGGTCGAGCCAATTCTCGATGGAGCACACTTCCAGATGTCTTCCATGGACTGATACACTAGAAGTCACAAACGTCCCATGGAAATGGTGCTTAGTTGAATCAAGACTTTGGGCGACTCGCTTATTTGTCACCATAGATAACAAGTCTTTACTATTCTCATTGATTCGTTGTCTACATTGACTGATTTCTAGAAGAGGAAAAGGTCTGTTGCTCGCCATGGTCAACATCTCAGGACATCCAAATAATAAATAATGGTTTGTCTGTAATTCCCTTTTGGCGCCTAGCTGCAGTACCACCCGAAGGGATTTCAACATTTGAGATACTGTCAGGCTGCCTAAGTTTGGTCCGAACTAGAGACTTTCTGGGCAGTAAGTCCGCGCCTTGACCGCTGAATCATCTTGAGACACCAAAGTATGCGACGAAACACTCCGAATAAACTAAAGGGCCCTACTGACATTGCTTAGCTTCATATTCGGGCTAGCCCAGTGGCAAACGCGGATTTAAAAATGGCTGTGGTGCGGACGTGGTTTCTGGCGTGGAACCGTACTACTTACCATATTTGTTGTCAAGTCTTAGCTAACGCACCACCGAGCCATGCAGCTTTAGTCCCCCGAATGGTTCAGCTCCAGAACTTATTATAGGACCCATGCAAACCATGGAGACAAAAAAGCATGTATTGAGGACAGGGTTGGGCGGTCCTTCATTACACTTAAGTGTAAGTAAGTAAGTGTAAGTATCGCCTACACTGTTACACAATTTGTTCACCACCCGAGAACAGTAAGACACAAAAAGCACCTTACTTGTGCTCTGCTGTGTTTCGGATTATTGCCCGAAAGCTGACTGATTCCGCTATCACATTCGTAGGAAATGCGAAAGGCAATAGATATCCCTTCCCTCAATTTGTAAGCTGTTGGATACGGTAAACATTTTTGCAGCTGGTCTGCAAATCAGTGCGAGAGTGACGAATTTACTTCTCTAACCGTCATTATCCGTCACATGAGACACACTTTGTATCGTACAGTGTGAGTATGCAAGAAGCAATCCTTTCTTCTGGGTCCTCAGTTAAGTACACTTAAGTCATCAGTTAATTCCCTTCCAGAAAGGATAACTCCGCAAGGTAGACCTGTAAAGAGGGAACTATAAAGCAAAACCGTTCTGCACTTTCGCCTTGTTATTTCCGTGCACCATGGCCTTAGTAAGAAGTGGACTGCTTTCAGAAACTTGTTCGATGTGTGAAGGAATTATGCGGCCACCGCTTTTGGGCTTGTATTTTCGTTAACACTGCATCTACGCAACTATTTTTTAATTTCCTGCAGAAAGTCGGATTGGATATGATGCTATCGTTATTTTTAAGGTTACTCACTTGGTAACTATAAGAATGTGGCCATTCAGGAGACACCCTTGTAACATGAACATCCGAAATATGACTCATGCGTAGATCAGCGTTCAGGCGCACTTCTCACCGTTTCTGTTGTCTGCAACTCGGACGGGACCTACCAGAGCTGTCATTCACCATCGGTGTCTTCGAGGCATTTTTTCTGTCTCGCGGGAACGTCGGATTAGCAATGTTGAGGTACGCCACAGGGTTTTAAGAAAGGTCTCTCCCACGATGGATGAATTACCCAGGCTTCTTAGGTTATGCTGGTTAGGACATGCCTCTGCATCCCAGAATACTGTCTACCCCCAGAGCTCCTTTCACGCAGCCCTGCATTGAGTGGAAGCGACTGAGAGGTGGACAGTGTATGACCAGACAACGAAGTATGAAAACACTAATTAGTACACTAAGTCGAACAGTGCAGCACCCCTGGATGGGGACCCTGTAACTCCAATGATAATAATATTATCCAGTGGTATCATCCCATCAGTGTATAGGTGCCACGCCATCCGAAGGAAGCATGAGGGCAAGGTAATGTCAGATTCCTCAGGCCTAGACAGGAGAAGTCGAGATCCCGGGGATGGGTTTAAACCAGGGGTCTTCCGGTCGTTAAGTTCACGCGTTAATCGCTGAGCTACCTCGAGGTAAGCGAGCGAAAGCAGCCTAGTGGTGAACAGTCTGTGATCTGGCAATGAAGTCTTAAAATACTTATCAGCAAACTCTGTCGGATCGACAACTACCGCCATCCTTGATGAGCACCCTTTGACTCAACTTACTAGTGGTCAATAATACTGGCAGACATGGCTCAGTCACGTAGTCATGAATCAAAGCTGTTGCCTTCAATGTGTAGCTGCCAGGTTTCCCGAGCTAAACGAACATAACATCGCCTCCAGTGGTTGGTTGTATCTTCCACACTGTCCCATTTTCCGATGTCCGAAACTAGCCGAAGCTTATTACATTGTTCACCGCTGATAAACTGAATTGAACTGAGTCCGCAACCCTACCGCACCTCGTTTGTCTGTCTGCATCGACCCCTAGCGCGACATCAAAGCAGGAAAACCCAGAATAGCGAAGATACTTGAAGGAGTTGGTGTGAAATCGCACACAAACGAATCTTCCCAAGCAGGTCATGATCATGTTTCACCTTCGAAAGGTTCTCTTTCTATTTAACCCATTATCCATACATCAGGTTGAATAACGCGTAACCTAGACAGATTATCTGAATCGTCATAGTTAAAGTCTTAGAAAGTCGAATTTGGATATCCGAATCCTGGCATGAGATCAGAGAGAAGCTACATGACAACATAGGGCGAGATGGCTTAAGTGGTTAGAGCGCGAATTTACTGACCGGAAGGTCCGTGGTTCGAACCCGACCACTGCCTCTCGACTTCCCCTGTCTAGGCTTGGGCAACCTTGCAGCATCTCAGCCCTCGTGCTTCCTTCGGGTGGCATGGCAGCTAGGCACCGGAAGGGTGTTACGGGTGAACGAGTGATTGATTAACATGACAACACCATAGGTGGATGATATTCCACGGGGTGAGCGAACCAAATAAATAGAAACTACTAACTCATTGGATATCTTCAGCGAACGTGCATGGGCACGTATTTTTTGTAGTAGGGTCGCATACGAACATGTGCTTCTGATTTGCTGGATTTCCTGTTATGTAAAAATCCGACTGTTTTGGCTTGGTCAGCTGGCTTGGGTAATTGTTTTGCATCATTTCCACTTGACTAAACTATTCTGACACGTCAAACGTACTTTTCCGCGACTTTTGACTCAGCACGTTCTGACCGAACACAGTGATGTAAGTGAAATGATGGGAGACGAAATGATGGGAAACACGACAAATGAGCAGATCTTCGTTTCGATTGCTGATGATTAGGGAGCGCAGGCAAACCTTAAGCACTTTGCGGTGATCTGATAGTACATCATTAGCGAAAACTGCTCCCAGTCCTCATTGTGGGCTTAAATGAAGTGATGCGTTTTACTAGTAGTTTCTGTTCACCAGCATCCGAAACTCTATACCACATCTGTCAGACATGCTTTATGGGCAAGTGAAAATCCACTTTGTTTTCTAGTTCATCAGTTGTCACTCGATCATGTACGACTATGGAAGCTTCTGGTATACTTCCAGTTGACTTGTGGTTTTTTCGATCACCCTCTCCCCGGAGTCTCGCTTGCCAAAATGGATGCCGTTTTTGTTTGCTTGTTTATTTATCTAGTTGAACGATCTGTACGAATCCCCTCGCCTGTTGCTGTCAGACTGATTTGTATCTGTTTATTTTGTTAATTATCGGTCGGTACTTTTCCAGTTTAAGTATCTAGGATGGATGATCGATATTGGCTTATACAAGGCTTTTTTTATTCCGAGACTCTTGATCTTAATTTCCTCACAGCTTATGGAACGTGGAATCAGTGGCATTGATCGGCCAGTCCTCCAGATGCAATTGATACGTCACCTTGCTAAATCACATGGAGCTTGTTTGGTGGACAGATTATGTGTACATTTAGCACAAACTTATGGCGTCCAGTGGCCTACTCCCGCCTCCAGCAATAAGCCAGACGACCAAAAAGACAGCACCGGTGCTATTCAAACTGATTCGCCCTCCCCTAGTAGCCCAGACTTTGTCAATCCCATGACCCCGGATCAGCGCCAACAGTTGGTCGAGATGCTGAAACACTCGGGTGCTGCAGATGCCGCTCAGACATCCTCTGCTCTACAAAACGTAATCGAGAAAATGCGGGCAATCCAGCAAACAGCAAACGTTGGTTTGACCGACTATTATTTGGCTGTGGAAGCTTTGGCGACGGATCATACTGGCATCAGCCTACCTACTTTGCATGCGCGGGTAGACAACAAACGCAGGAAAGAGGAACGGAGCAAGGCGAATGAGTTAGCCCTACAAGTTGAACTGCAACTACAAACAGCAATAGAGGCGCTTCACAAAGAAGCGGATATGCGGTTGGCAGCCACGGCAAGCCTGGCAGCCGTGTGTCTATTCGCTCAGGTCGCGACTGGTTGGCCCGTAACTGCACCCGGAAAATGTGTTCCTGACCTGGTTAGTTGGCTTTCCGACTTTGTATCTTCTCGAAGATCTTCAAACAATTCCAAAGAGACAACCACATCACCCGCACTGCAAGCTCTGTTAAACTCAACCGCAATACCAGATCTTGTCGAACTTACTGCTCTTATCTCTCAGCACATGCATTCTGGCATTGATATCAGTTTCAACACTGACTTGGGGACTAAATTCGAACAGGTGGTCAATGTGGCTAAACAATGCCGGAAGTTGATGACGTGAAGAAGATTGCCGCTTTCTCCGTATGTTGCTTTATTTTGGGACTCGGGCTGTTTCTTCGTGACTTTGTGTTTATTTCCCATGTGATCTTGTTTTGCTGTGAATCTTGAATATCCGAACCAGATTTCTTGTTTTTAATTCGTGAGCGCAGGTTTTTGTTGGGATTAAGCCTGTTGACATGCCCCGAAAGTACTCTGTGCACCGAATCAATTAGCTGCTTGTTAGATGTGAACTGGGGTAGCAGATGTGAGCATAGTGAACGTCAAACTGAACTGTAAGTGAATTTCAACGAAACTTTCGGTAGGATGATGATAAACCGTTTCCTGTAGCTATGATTGCGACTATTAGCGGGGGATCTCTAGTGCATTGTAAGCTAGCTTTTGGAGTGAACTGATACGTTCTAGAACTATGTTAACTGTTTCCCTGTACGAGCCAGGATTGTTTTTCAGATTAATCAGGTTAATCGGCCCTGCTGAATCCATGCGTGCCGTTGGGCGATTCCCGTTTTAAGTAAACAACGAACCATAGTCATAAATGTGTGCACGCGTCTCCCACCATCACCATCATAATCGAGAGCTTGACATCAGTGTTCAACACCGATTCTTCTCTGCTGTACAACCATGACCTACTTAAAAGCCTTATTGTGAAGAAGAGAATAAGGGTGGATGGGGGAGTTAGTGCTAGCTTAATACAATCATTTCAAGTTGCCTACACCTCGGAATGCACACTCATTCAGGCACTGAACAGAAACTGACAACAAGATCACCCTTGACATCGGTTGGCAGCCATATCTTGCAGCGTTTCTAGCCAGGCGCAGTGGGGACCACGCAGTTCCCATCCTGGAAGGCTAGTATCACGGACAGCACCCAAGCGTTTCGTAATCTCTTTCATACCCCTCTGCCAGGTCAAGTTTTGGCCACTTCTGTGCTTCCGCAACTCTGAATTGGACATGAGAAACAGAACTCTCTTCGGCAAACGGTGGCTAGCCATTCGTAACACATTTCCCAACCAACGCAGCTTCTGATACTGGACATTCTTTAATGGGAGTTGCATAGTCGAAAATCGATTTCTAACCGCCACATTACGGATTCGCCGACACCAACCCACACGATCTATGGTTCTGAGACCGATTGTTGAATACCTGAAGACGTCTCAGTTCCACTGCTCGAACAGGCCAACTCTCGCAGCCATACAACAAAACACCTCGCACTGTAGCTCAATACACACGTCCCGTGAGATTCAGGGATACACCGCTTTGACGCCATAGGTGTCCTAAATTAGCAAACACGACCCAGGCCTTGAAGATTCGTGCATTCACATCATCTGTCGCACTACAATCAGAACTAATACAAATTCCAAGATACGTAAAATTCTCCACAACTTCCAGTGCCTCTCTCTGGACTGTAAGTGGCTGCATGACCTTACACTTTGTGGGTGGCCGTGACAATTGCTGTTCAAAGTGTTCGGCCCACCGGTCGAGGCCTTCTTCTTTACTCAAGATGGTCATTCCATTCTGATTCTGGACGGTCGCATGGATCAACTGAAATAACCTTTGGGCACCACCGGCTTTCTGTGTCCACCACACTTTACGGTCGGCTTACACGCTTGATGTGACTTGGCGTCAGATAATTCGTCGCGTCAGGTTATGTTGGGGGCCGGCTAGGATATTTCTCCGAGAGTTAAGCAGTGCCACCTTCGGTCTGCGCCTGGTGCTGCCGTGCCACAGGCGAAATTCCCAGCACTGTGCAAAGGGGCGACAACCTCGTCCCAGTGTGCATTCACATCTGATGTTGGAGCATTTGGAGGTGACTCTAGAATACGATTCTGATAAATTTGTCTAACATCCGGATCTGCCAGTCTCTTAATTGCGAAGCGATTTGTCCGCAACTTACGCGGCCCTGGAAAACATAAGGAGAAGCGAGTCCGGTCGAGCGCCTGGTCGGAATCCACAAATGTTCTCCAAAATGACCGGCAGTCAGTTATTGATCCACACCATCGGTTTGAGTTTGCGGCCGTTGGAGGACACCATCTGGCCAGACGACTTCGGCCATTTCGGAAGTCAGTACTGCATAAAAACGGCCTGCAATCAGCACGCATTTGAGGCAATCGTTCACCACTTTCAGTACATACCGAGTCCAATTCGTGTCGACCTTTTAACTGAGTCTCAGATGCGCTAAGCCCACCCAATTGCGAATTCAGATATCCGACAACTACCACCGTAACAGGGCATTCAGGGCGTAGTAAAGCCTGCCTTTGACGGCTTTGGAGCTACAGTCAGTTGGGGCGTAGGGAGACACGACAAACAGATCTATCAACTTCCCTCATGTAAGACTCCTTTACAGACGTTACCAGACGAATCACACAGAGGCGACTATCAACAGGTATCCAGTCAAGTAAGGATACTTCCGCTTGGTGACTCAGGAAAGTAGGAAACCCTGCACATCCCGCCGCAGCACTCTGGATCACCAGAGGTGCGTAGCCGGAAGCGAATAAAGTTTGATTGGACAGTTTGCTCAACCACTATGCTTGCACACATCAAAACCAAGCGAGTCCTGTGTGAGAGTAAGAGCAGTTTGTTGTCCTGCATGCTTTAGAGCGCGGACATTAAAGGCTGGGTGTCGAGGCTTGAAGATTGATTCGGAGACACCTGAGGATATCGGCGCCACGTGACGAGCAGACGCTCTCGCAAAACCGATTCAAGATGAACGGAGTCACCAGTCCTAAGTGCTGGGCTTACAGGGGAGGGGGATGGAGAACTATGTGAAAGATAAACAAGGGAGGCGTCAGCGGTAGCTCGTTTTCGTTTACCCACCCTGCTGTATGCAGCGAGTAAGGCGACCTGGCTAGCGGCAACACGCGACGGCCGATGTGGCATGAGAATATTTTTAGTTGTGTAGGTCATGGTTGTACGAGGGCTGGAGTACTGTCAGGGAGCCCACATCCATACAAGAGGATAATTAGCGTCCTCAAGCAAGGCCTTTGGCCCAAAAGCTTATTCGCAAGGCAGTGGTATTAGGCGGGAAATGTAAGTGCATTACCATTTCTACGAAACAAGTCGCCACTTATTCTAACCCGCAACCTGGAGGACCAGCAGACTGTTCGTCAGACCTCTAATCACCTATCAACCTGGTATGGGAGACAGTATCGCACAGACACCCTTTCAGTATAGCTCAATGCGTTGCTGAGGTACACAAACCGTCACCACGGAACCACATCAATAATATCTAATCTTGGTGTACACTTTCGATTATTGCTCACTTCTAACCGAAACTTCCAGATCTATTTCTGGGTCCGAAATTTTTCACCAAGTGGCGCAAACCATTTTTATGTAGTTTTTGTTAGTCTCGTAAGAGCGTTTGGCATCCAGATGGATCGCAGTCTAGTAAAATTGGTGCGGTACTGTTTTTTCTCTATGCTTGACCTGTTCAGCGAGCCTCAGAATTGTTTTGTAAATAGTTCATCACTCGAGGCGAAATTGTGAGCCCACTGTTGTTGAGCAATATAGATCTATAACAGCTTGAAGGGAACTACTAGACCACCGCTTGGGGAACATTTGGAAAACAGGTAGATTTATTGACGAAAGCTTCGTAAGGCTAACTAAGTTAGAACGTTACTCAAATTTTCAGTGAGTAACATTAGACTAGAACCAGCCGGAAAGCTGACATTATATGCAAGTTTTGCTTTGTGGGTTATACCAGGATCAAGCGACCGGGATAACTTTTTGTTCCATCCTAGAGCTTGATCAATCTTGATACTTGGTTGTTTTAGCTGCTTTGGTTTTTTTAGAAGCAAAACGTTTTCTGGTGTATAGATGGGCGTCGGTTTGTTCTTCAAGCTCAGCGATTTGTTTAGAAGCGTTTCACTACGATCCGAGGGGAACTATACAAGAACTATCCTTTGCGTCGAATTTCGAACCTCAAATACGGTCGTTCGGAATCCGTATCAACTGGCTTAGACTGGTGGAATTTCTCTGTAATGGAGAGTGTCTATATTTTTTATTCGTTTGATAAGTTGAACTGCAACAGTGTTGTGATTTCATGTGGATATCCCTGGTTAGACACGTGACTCACTGAGAATGGTATTTGGCGTGCTTGCAACCTGTGTGTTGCTCTTTGGTTCCGATGCACGTAAAAACCAACAACGATTAACGCAAAGCTGCATAACGAACGCAGTAATGGTGCTACCTCGGTTAGCGAGTAAATGACAAAATACTACCCAGCTCAGCGAACGAACCACTGGCCTTCTATGCAGTCTGATGCACCAACATTTTCCTCAGTAACATCTCAGTAAACTTACACAGCCTTAACTATTCACTATGACTAGGGTGCTGTTTGGATGACCTGTGTTTGGGTTGCCATGCTCCTCAGGGAATGTGAGGTCAGCTTAGTAGCTTGAGAATTACATTTGTGAGCTATACTGGGAAAATTGTAATCAGATGGCTTGACTGTACATATGGGGCACAAGCGATGCACCACAGATGCTCCTCTAGTTGAACGGTAGTAGTTTTACGATGATAAACCGGCAACGCGGGCTGTCCACTCACTGCACAACCCAACCCACTGGCAATCAATGAGCATCCACCGTTGTTATTTCTGTCCACCCCTTTGCGATCCAAAATAATTGAAACTCACTGAAATTCACCTTTTACATTAATACAAAGGGCAATGTCGTAAGTGTTTAAGATATGCTCTGACAACCCAGCTGGCCCATAACGAACCCCATGAGCCGCTTCGTGTTGCATTAATGTAAAAACAAACAGAAAAACATCATTATTAGCTGCAGAAGACTATTATAAATGCGTTGACCGATTTTATGGGTTGAAGCATCATCAGACCGCCACGATGCTTCGGGATATACCATATCCCGAAGGCGTTTTTACCGACATATATGAACAAAGGCTATCTGGTGTGTTCCCTTATCCGTGACCCATACTGTCAGGGCGCGCCCAGACAGAAGAAAAAGCACATGTGCAGAGTGACATCCCCAAGGTCACCATCGGTACG